GTGGGGGGGGGGGGGGAAATGCGGCTGCACAGCAGCTTGTGTGAAATTGACACGTACCATGGGGCAAAAGGGAAGAAGAGCGTGGAGCAGCGCTTGTGGGAAATCGGTGTTGTAAATGTTGTTAGCCGCCTTGAGCCAGTCCTGTGGCTAGGCAGGATACAAATCGAAATCATAAATAAATAAATACATTAAAAAAATAAAAATAAAATACAACCGGGGAAAACGGGACACCGAGGGCGCAACCAGCGCTTTTGCGGAATCGGTCCGAGTGCTTACCTCCCCCTTTTCGTTGCGGATCCGCCGGTTGAACTCCTTTCCCTCCAGGCACAAGAAATCTTCCCCTGGCTGGATGATGCCGCACTTGGCAGCGATGGCCCGGGCCGTGTTGATGTTGTCCCCCGTCACCATGCGGACAGTGATGCCAGCGCGCTGGCATTTGCGGATGGCTTCTGGCACCTGCGGAAGAGACAGACGGCGCGTTGAACGGGCGCCGCTCTACGATTCAGCGCGCTTGCAAAATCTCCTTCCCCCCCAAAGACCAAATCGGCCAGCTGGTGTTGAATTAGATTGGGATTGTTAGGAACAGGGCCGGCGTCAACATCCCCTCAGGCAGGGCAGCCGCCAGGGCTCAGGGCTTCTGGCAGAGCTAGTCTGCTGTTGTGGTTAAGCTGGGAGAACCGGGTTTGATTCCCCACTCCTCCACTTGGACCTGCTGGATGATCTTGGGCAAGCCACAGTTCTGTCAGAGCTGTTCTTTAAAAGAGCAGTTTCTGTCAGAGCTCCCTCAGCCCCACCTGCCTCCCAGGGTGTCTGTTGTGGGGAGGGGAAGGGAAAGGAATTTGTAAGCCGCTCTGAGACTCCATTGGGTAGTGAAGGGCGGGGTATAAATCCAATCTCTTCTTCTTCTCTTCTCTTGCATCAGGGCCCACCCCCTCAAAAATGCCCTTTTCCTGCCAGCTCACTTATAGTGCAGGGTATAAATCCAATCTCTTCTTCTTCTTTTTCTTCCCCACTCCTCCACTCGCAGCTGCTGGATGACATTGGGCAAGCCACAGTTCTGTCAGAGCTGTTCTTTAAAAGAGCAGTTTCTGTCAGAGCTCCCTCAGCCCCACCTGCCTCCCAGGGTGTCTGTTGTGGGGAGGGGAAGGGAAAGGAGATTGTAAGCTGCTCTGAGACTCCTTCGGGTAGTGAAGGGTGGGGTATAAATCCAATCTCTTCTTCTTCTCTTCTCTTGCGGCAGGGCCCACCCCCTCAAAAATTCCCTTTTCCTGCCAGCTCACTTACAAGCACTTCGCCACCCCTTGGTCCATCTGCACACGCTGCCCAGGGCCATCAGGACAAGGGCTGTGGGCAGCACAGTTGTCTGTGAGCATGAGCAGAGGGCGGGCCTGTGAGCGGGGCAGAGAAAGGATGCAGAGTAGTGTTGCTAGGTCCCTCCTGGCAACCGGCAGGAGACAGGGGCGGGCCTTAGCAGGAGCCGAAGGGAGGCCCAGGCGACGTTGCCGGCGGCGACATGGCTAGGTCACTTCCTGCGTGTGCCAGAAGTGATGTCATCACACTGTGACATCATGGCGAGGCTGTGGTATTTGGGGGGAAACTCTATGGTAAAAAATGGCTTCCACCATAGAGTTTTTGCCCAAGTACCAGAGTGCTGCCTGTAGGGTTGCCAAATGGGCCCGGGGGGCGGGGAATCCCCCGCTTTGGCGACCCGATTTTCGACGCGAAAACTCTGTTTTCCCCTCAAATGGCTGTGGCCCCGCCCCCAGCATGCGACGTCACACCAGGAGGTACCCGGGAGTAACATTTCGCACCCCCTAGCTGCCTGGGTGCTGCTGCTGGCCTGTAGCTACGGTGGGGCTACTGGGGGCTCTGCCCCGTTTCTTAAAGGGCCAGCCCCACAAGATTTTTTTTGAGAAGATTTTTTGAGACGAATAGGGGTGCCGCCAGCGGGCAGGCTTGGGGGCAGATTGGAGCTGACGTGAAAATAATGGCAGCCTCGCTAGCCCTACCAGAAAATGTTTTGCCCCACAAGCCACAAAATCCTGGCTATGGGCCTGACACTGACGTGACACCACCAGTTCTGGTGCAGACGTTGCCATGTCGCTGGCAACGTAGTCCCTCTCCCTCCTCCTGGTAAGTCCTCCTGTCAGCCAGTTAATCAGGGGGGACGGGACGGCCTGGAGGTGGGGTCCCAGGCAACCATCCCTCTAAGCTGTGGAGTCCTACTTTGTGAACTATGGGCATTAAAGTTGTGAGTGAGCGATTTGGCTACCGCATCAATTAGTTTGCTCTGGAGCCATCCTTTCCTGAGCAAAGTCGAAAATGTGTGAGCCGGAGGCTAGAAAACCATGAGCTAGCTCACCCTAACTCAGCTTAGAGGGAACACTGGTTGTGAGCGAGTGATTTGGCTCCTGCATAAATCAGTTTGCTCTGGGGCCATCCTTCCTGAGCTGAAACAAAAACGTGTGAGCCGGAGGCTTAAAAAGTGTGAGCTAGCGCACACCGACTCAGCTTAGAGGGATCACTGGCTACCAGGGTGCCTGACAACTCTAATGTACAGACAGGAAGTGAGACTCGGATGAGTGGGTGGGAAGGATCCCCCGAGAACTCTCTGCCCAGGGCGCCCCCCCCTCCCAAATCTGGGACTGGCCCTGCTCAGAAATCTTGAGTTTTCTGTTTCCCCCACACATGCAGTGTTCCCTCTAAGCTGAGTTAGTGTGAGCTAGCTCACAGTTTTTTAGCCTCTGGCTCAGACATTTTTATCTTAGCTCAGGAAGGAGGGCTTCAGAGCGAGCGAATGTATGCAGCAGCCAAACTGCTCGCTCGCAACTTTAATGCCAGGAGCTCACAAAGTAGAATTCTTGCTCACAAGACTTAGAGGGAACATTGCCTGTGAGGTAGGTGGGGCTGAGAGAGCTCTTTCGAGGGCTGCTCCTGAGAGAACAGCTCTGAAAGAACTTGTGAGTGCAGTGTTCCCTCTAAGCTGAGTAAGTGTGAGCTAGCTCACAGATTTTTAGCCTCTGGCTCACACGTTTTTGTCTTAGCTCAGGAAGGGATAAAACAGTTACAGGCTTTCTGGAACAAGATGGATTCCAGTTGATTCTGGGAGGCCTGAAGCGAGAGGACACGGTGCCCTTCCTGGGACAGGCAGTCCCAGAAAGTGGGAGCCATCAAGGAAAAGACCCCGTTCCAAACACCAGCCAACCTGACCACTGGAAATCTAATTCAGGAGCTCCTCTGGCTCCTTAGATATTAACGAGCACTGCCCAAAGACACCGGCCATGTCTTGACCACGGGGCTGCAAACCTCCCGGTGGTGCCAAAGACAGTAGCCACAAACAACACCCACCAAGCGAAGACCACCTACAGTTCACAACTATGTTCAAAACTATATATTGCATTCATTGAAATACCAAGAAGGATTAGTGGTCACAACCCAATGGAGTGTATAGACATTGACCCATCAGATTACTCATGACAATTAAACACAGATAAAAAGAAGAAGAGGAGGAGGAGGAGGAGGAGGAGATTGGATTTATTAGTGGTCACAACCCAATAGAGTGTATAGACACTGACCCATCAGATTACTCATGACAATTAAACACAGAGAAAAAGAAGAAGAGGAGGACGAGGAGATTGGATTTATTAGTGGTCACAACCCAATAGAGTGTATAGACACTGACCCATCAGATTACTCATGACAATTAAACACAGAGAAAAAGAAGAAGAGGAGGACGAGGAGATTGGATTTATTAGTGGTCACAACCCAATAGAGTGTATAGACACTGACCCATCAGATTACTCATGACAATTAAACACAGAGAAAAAGAAGAAGAGGAGGACGAGGAGATTGGATTTATTAGTGGTCACAACCCAATAGAGTGTATAGACACTGACCCATCAGATTACTCATGACAATTAAACACAGAGAAAAAGAAGAAGAAGAGGAGGAGGAGATTGGATTTATACACCGCCCTTCACTACCCAGGGGAGTCTCAGAGCGGCTTACAAACTCCTTTCTCTTCCCCTCCCCACAACAGACACCCTGTGAGGCAGGTGAGGCTGAGAGAGCTCTTTCAAGAACTGCCCTTTCAAGGACAGCTCTGACAGAACTAGGGCTTGCCCAAGGTCATCCAGCAGCTGCAAGTGGAGGAGTGGGGAATCAAACCCGGTTCTCCCAGATTAGAGTCCTCGCGCTGAACCACTACACCAAACTGGCCCTCACACCAAACTGGCTCTCTTAACATATCCATATTCAAAACCAACAGTAGGCTCCCCTGTAATTCCATACATAGATAGTGTCTGTAGACCTCCAAACAGAAAGTGACTGCAGCAGAGAAGATGCCCACTGGGGAAAGAATAACAGCCAGACGCCTCTCCCAGGTATCAATCAAGCATTCCAATGATCTTCAACACCGACTGGTAAAACGGAACCTGATTTTAAAGGGAAGGTTCCCTTTAAATGGTTGGGGGATAGGGGGAGGCGTGTGCACGTGGCGCTGCATCCCTGACATGACAACGTCACTCTGCATGACGTCATTGCGTCGGGGATGGCCCCTCCCCCTCCTGGAACGCTCCCCCCACCGGGGAAAAGCTGTGACACCTGGCGACCCTAGATCCAGGGGTCTTGTCTGTCCCAACTCTGGGACAATCACAGAAAAGGGGTTCGACCTAAAGTCCGAGGGGAGTGAATCTGCATTTGTCTTTCCCACCGGTGTCCCAGCCTTCTGACTCTGTCTTCAAAAAAGCTGTCTACATTTGGTTTCGTTTTCACACCTCAACAGCGCTAGCATACTTTTGCATGACTGCATATGTTTATCGCCCGCTCGTGGCGGCGCCACTGGCATGGCGCCTCTGCACTGCTTTAAAGGAATGTTCTCCAAACAACATTCAAACAAGCATAGAGAAAGATGGCGTCACAGCAGCACGAAACTGATTTAAAAATGCAAATGCATATTCGACCCTTCTCTCTCAGGTAATGCCTGTGCAGTATCATACATTCAAGTGAAGGCAGGGTTTTGCTTGCAGAAAAAGGCACCTTAGAGTAAAACCCTGGGCAGAACTAGTCCAGTCTAAGCCCTTTGGTTTAAACTGCACTGTGAGTTAATCAGCTGCAGAGCTATTGGGGCACACTGGTTTGTCCAAGAAGGATTCAAGAAAGAAAGGGAACAAAATAGTTGGTTTTTATACCCTGCTTTTCTCTACCCAAAGGAGTCTCAGAGCGACTTACAAACTCCTTTCCCTTCCCTTCCCCACAACAGACACCCTGTGAGGTAGGTGGGGCTGAGAGAGCTCTTTCGAGGACTGCTCCTGAGAGAACAGCTCTGAGGGAACTGGGACTGACCCAAGAAGAAGAAGAAGAAGAGATTGGATTTTGTACCCCAACATTCACTACCCGAAGGAGTCTCGGAGCAGTGTACAATCGCCTTCCTTTCCTCTCCCCACAACAGGCACCCTGTGAGGCAGGTGGGGCTGAGAGAGTTCTGAGAGAACTGTGACTGGCCCAAGGTCACCCAGCTGGCTCCATGCGGAGGAGGAGCGGGGAATCAAACCCGGGCTCTATATTAGAGTCTGACGCTCTCAACCACTGTACCACGCTGGTTCAGATCTTCACTTTGCCTGCTTTTAATGGCTTTGGAGATGATATTTTAATGGTATATTTTGTTAGCCACTTTGGTGGCCCTATGGGGGCAGAAAGACGAGGGTAAAAATCCTGTTAATAAATAATAGATAAATATATAAACAGATTTGCCTTGAAGCTTTCTGGGTGACCCTTGGACCACTTTGGTGTAGTGGTCAGTTTGGTGCAGTTGCTGGTGTGACCTCGGGTCAGTCACAAGTTCTCTCATAGCCGTTCTCTCAAGGACTGTCCTCAAAAGAGCTCCCTCAGCCCCACTTCCCTCACAGAGTGTCTGTTGTGGGGAGGGGGAGAGGAGTTTGTCAGCTGCTCTGAGACACCTCTGGGTAGTGAAGGGCGGGGTATACATCCAATTTCTTCTTCTTCTTCTTTTACCTCACAGGGTGTCTGTTGTGGGGAGGGGAAAGGAAAGGAGTTTGTCAGCCGCTCTGAGACTCCTTTGGGGGTAGTGAAGGGCAGGATATAAATCCAATCTCATCTTCTTCTTCTTTTACCTCACAGCGTGCCTGTTGTGGGGAGGGGAAGGGAAAGGAGTTTGTCAGCTGCTCTGAGACTCCTTTGGGTAGTGAAGGGCGGGGTATAAATCCAATCTCTTCTTCTTCTTCTTTTACCTCACAGGGTGCCTGTTGTGGGGAAGGGAAGGAGTTTGTAAGCCGCTCTGAGACTCCTTTGGGGAGTGAAGGGTGGGGTATAAATCCAATATCTTCTTCTTCTTCTTCTTTTACCTCACAGGGTGCCTGTTGTGGGGAGGGGAAGGGAAAGGAGTTTGTAAGCCGCTCTGAGACTCCTTCGGGTAGTGAAGGGCGGGGTATAAATCCCGTCTCTTCTCCTCTTAACTCTCAGCCTAACCTTCTTCACAGGATTGTTGTGAGGATAAAACAGAGGAACACAGACTTCCCTTAGCTCCTCATAAAAAAGATAGGATTTTTTTTTTAATGTGGCATATCGTTACCTCCGGCCTCACGGGGTCCTCAATCCCCACCACAGCAATGCAGGTCAAGTCTATCACAATCTCGTTCTCGTTGTCCCATTCTGGCTCTTTGCCTGCCGGGAAGTCGCGGTATGCGATGCAGATGGTCCGCAGCCCGTTGCACGCCATGGGCTCGATCACTTTCTTCACCATTTCATCTCGGTCCCGGGGCCGGAAGCTGCGCAACTCCCCATTGCTATTTAGGATGTTTGTGCACCTGAAACAGCGGAAAGGAGGCACACCAGTAATCGGGGCAGACCGGGAAGTGAAAACGGCCCTTGCACAAGTCGAAGTGAGTGGCACCTGCAGAGCTACAAGCCAGCACCTACAAGGGCCGCTCAGTTCTGACCCAGCCAGAGGGGGCAACGATGAACATTGGCGCATCCATTGCCTCCTTCCACATCACTGCCACCCGCGGCATCGAAGGAGGAGGCACCCGGTGAGCTGACATGGGTCCATTCTGCACCTGACATTCGCTCCATATTTCCTCAGCACTCGACCTGGTTCCTCCTTGCCTCGGAATATCTGTTTTCATTCAATCTGGTATGCAGGTTTTCCTGTGTCAGTACTTGCCTCAGCGGTCATTAGTTGCCTGAGCCAAGTAATTCACGGCGAGGTGATAAATACAGAGGGGGAAACAGACGGAGATCAATGAAGCCGTGCCAAGTTGTCTGCTTACTGTTCCCATTCAGCTTAGAGGGAACACTGGTTGTGGACAAGCAGGGTCCTCCTCGTGTTCCTTCCCTATGCTTTTATTTGCCTGCGATCCTTTTGGGCCTTCCTTGCCAGTCTCTTGCTGAGCCTCTTTCTGATTTCTTATTGAAACACTGGGCTCCCCTCAGAATTGATTGAATGTTCACCGAGAGGAGGAACCTCCTATTTCCCCTACAACGGAAATCAGGTGATGTGTCCCATCTAAGCTGAGTTAGTGTGAGCTAGCTCACAGTTTTTTAGCCTCCGGCTCACAGATTTTTGTCTTGGCTCAGGAAGGAGGGCCACAGAGCAAATGAATTTATGGGTGATGAACCCCCCCCGATCCCAAAAACTCTTAGCTGTAGTCCCCACATCCATAAAGCTGGAAACTGGTAACAAGATGACACCGAGAGTCTTTGCCACCGTATAGATGTAGCGCCTTTGGAACTTGTTTCTGTGATTTTAATTTGCTTTTATTGTCTTTAAAGTTTTTATGGTGCCAGCGGCCTCGTAAGCTGCCCTGAGCCTGCTTCAGCCGGGATGGCAGGGTATAAATTAAATAAATAAATAAATAAATATTATGCTGGTTATATTTTACCTGTTTTAATGCTGTAAATCGCCCAGAGCCTGCTCGCAGGGTTGGGCGATTCAGAAATCTAATAAATTATAACAACAACAACAACAACAATAATAAAATTTACATGAGATGAGTGATGCGAGTCAAGTTGGGGACCCCCAACACGACGCACAGTCACTCGTACCTTCGGGGGACTCACCTTTGAAAGCGGCCCGACATTCGATGCAACTCGGGAGTGCTATGCAATGGGAGGGAGACTTCCGCCTTTCTTCCAGTGCCATTTTCTAGACTGAAAACAGCAATGGCCATTTGCTGCAGTCTAGGGCTCCACATGTCCTGGGATCATGTGATCGGGGGCACATGGCACCTGAGATAAGCCACCCTTTTCATTGCACCACACTCCTGAGCTGCAACACTGGTCCTTTCCGCACTTGGATCTCATCCCTGGTTTTATCAGAGTTCAACTCGGGACACAATACCTTGCATTTATCCCTGGTTATAATGGTCCTTTCCAGACTAGACTGTAAATCCTGGTTCAACCCTGTCCCCGAACTTACATTCTACACTACACTCAAGTTCACCACTGTGATTATCTTGGGGTATTTTTTGTTTCCACATTACCTTGAGGTCACCCCAGTTTTGCCTCACACTTGTCCTGGGATAAACAGATGGTGTTATAACCAGGGATAAATGCAAGGTATTGTGTTCGAGTTGAACTCTGAGAAAACTAGAGATGAGATCCAAGTGCGGAAAGGACAACAGCATCCGTTTATCCCGGGACAAGTGTGGGGCGAAACCGGGGTGACCTCAAGGTAATGTGGAAACAAGAAATACCCCCCGAGATAATTACGGGGTGAACTCGAGTGTAGTGTAGAATGTAAAAATACCCCGAGATAATTACAGGGGTGAACTCGAGTGTAGTGTAGAATGTAAAAATACCCCGAGATAATTACAGGGGTGAACTCGAGTGTAGTGTAGAATGTAAAAATACCCCGAGATAATTACAGGGGTTAACTCGAGTGTAGTGTAGAATGTAAAAATACCCCGAGATAATTACAGGGGTGAACTCGAGTGTAGTGTAGAATGTAAAAATACCCCGAGATAATTACAGGGGTGAACATGTGTTTAGTGTAGAATGTAAGTTCGGGGACAGGGTTGAACCAGGATTTAAGGTCTAGTGCGGAAAGGACCACAGACTCAACACAGAGAGTTGCTATAAAGATTGTTGAGATAATGTGAGTGTTATACAGATGATAAGGTATTATTTTTTGGCCCTCATTGTCATTTTAAGCTGGTTGTTATCGGTTGCTGCTGTGATTCTACGTACAGTGATTTGGAGATGAAAATTCCAAACAGCATTTACGTACGTTTATGAACCATATCTAAAGCGCTCAGTCCATTTCAAACTGGGCCACCTTTCCTGCTCCCCCCGTCCATTTTCAGTGTGCTATTCCAGTTTCTTTTGAAACAGCTCTAACTTTCGCAATATACCGATATACGTTAGCAGCACACTTGATTTTTATGTCTGAGTGCTGCCACCATGTCAGTGTATTGATATATTGTTATACCGCAAAAGTTAGAACTGTTGAGAAAAAAACAGAATAAAAAGCACTGGAAATTGGGGGAGGGGAGGCAATGCTTTCAGAAGCACGGCAGACTTTTTAACAGTGTACTGCAGCCAATCAGAAGCCCCTGAGGACAGGAGAACAGAGTTCAAAAGAAAAAAAAAATCCAGCTCAACCTCATTTGCAAATGTGATGGAAATCTGTTAGCAACTGGCAGCAGAAAAGGGTTTACAGAGGCGGCACGCAAGGGCCCATGCTGCAAGTTGTGCAGCGAGACCTACGAGCCACCTGATCCTGGGGCCGGGGGTGGCGGTTGCCATCGTTTCACACAATGAGGGAAGCAGACTCACTTTTTAAGGACGATTTCGGAGGCACCTTTGCTGAAGAGACGGTAGCCGCCGTCAGGCATGCAAGTGACGGTGCTCATGGACTTGCGGACAGAATTAAAGGTGTAGACCTTGTAGAGCTTCTCCTCAGGGATCTGGTCACGCACTGACTGGTAGTCCCGCCTCAGGTTGACCACGAAGCCCAGCAGCGAACACTCTGTCTTGTTGCCGACCTGGCGGGGCAGGCCCCCTTCTTTCTCTGGAGGCTGAAGGAAACGAAAGCAGACTCAAGGCGGGCCCCCTTCTCTGATTTCTCCCAACGACATCCATTCCCGTTGCGAGAATCAGAACGGTAAAGTTCACAGACATGAACCGTCAGGGTCAGGCTTGACTACTCAGACTGGCCGCAGCTCTCTAGGGTCTCAGGCAGAGGTCTTTCCCATCACCTACTAACTGATCCTTTTTAAGAGAGCCGGTTTGGTGTACTGGTTAGGAGCGCGGACACTAATCTGGGAGAACTGGGTTTGATTCCCCACTCCTCCACAAGCAGCTGTTGGTGTGACCTTGGGTCAGTCACAAGTTCTTTTAGAGCTGTTCTCTCATTAGCAGTTCTCGAAAGAGCTCTCTCGGTCCCAACTACCTCACAGGCTGTCTGTTGTGGGGAGGGGAAGGGAAAGGAGACCGTAAGCTGCTCTGAGACCCCAAGTGAAGGGCAGGGTATAAATCCAGTCTCTTCTCTTCTTCTCTTCTTCTTCTGGAGATGCCAGGGAACGAACCTGGGACCTTCTACATGCCAAGCAGAGGGTCTTCCACTAAGCCACAGCCCCTCTGCTAAAGCAGAGCTTCATACATAAACACAGATGAAGCTATACTTAATCAGGCCATCAGGCCATCAAGGTCAGTATTGTCTACTCAGATTGGCAGTGGCGGAAGTCTTTCCCATCACCTACTAACAGATCCTTTTTAACTGGAGATGCTGAGACCGGGACCAAACCTGGGACCTTCTGCATGCCAAGCAGAGGCTCTGCCACTGAGCCAGGGTCTCCGGTCAAGGTCTTTCTCACCACCTCCTGCCTGGTCCTTTTAACTGGAGAGGCAGGGGATTGAACCTGGGACCTTCTGCATGCCAAGCAGAGGCTCTGCCACTGAGCCAGGGTCTCCGGTCAAGGTCTTTCTCACCACCTCCTGCCTGGTCCTTTTAACTGGAGAGGCAGGGGATTGAACCTGAGACCTTCTGCATGCCAAGCAGAGGCTCTGCAACTGAGCCACAGTTTCTCCCCATATATCCCTGTTCTGGACTAAAAGACTAGGATCTCTCAGTAACTCTGTCCTGCAATGGGCATTGAATCTATGAACGGGTGAATATTTACCATATAGACTTTAACCAATTTAACACTAGTTTCCTCTCTCCCAGAGAACTCTGGTGTGATGGGTGACCTTTGTCTTGCTTTGTGAGTCATGAGAAGAAGACCAGGCATTTGAGAGACTTCGGTGACCTGTGGTTGTTCAGATTACAAGCCTTTTATTTTGTCTAGCGATTTTTCTGCTTGACTGCTGCGGGAACAGGGCGGGGGCTGCCTGGTTGCCATGGATGCATGTGAATCATGCAAGGTAAGGCTTTGGAAGGAAAAGGGTATATTGAGGGGAGGAGGTCTGAACAAGAGAGAGAGCCGTGGGCTCAGCAGATGGGCTGGTTCTGCGTATGGCATTCGCTTCACAAGTGAAAGCGACATGCAATGCAGAGGGGAATTTCTGTTCCAATGTGAGTTTGCTAAAACAACGGAGGGAAAAGCCACGGCAGAATCGCCCTTCTTTTTAAGCTCGATGGAACCAATTCTCGCTTGTCCGTGAGTGTTCATATTTTGTAATTAAATAGTCTGAACAGGCCTTTTTTGACCCCATGTTTTATTGATGTCAGAACAAGCATGCATTATTGAACAGTACTCTTAGCTGTTGGGTGTAGCAGATGTATCCTTTTCTATTGGGCCGGAATACAAAATTTGCATCACCATCCAGAGCATTTCCCCTTCTCCTTAGAGCTGAACTAAACACAGCGGCAGCTGGCCCTTCAGGTCTGCAAACCACCAAAAAAACCCTATACAAATAAAGTATTAGACGACAAACAGTGTCCTTAAAATGAGCCCAGCAAGAGAACCAAACTGAAGCAAAATAGACTGAGAGTTAACTTCTAGAGCAGGGGTGTCAAACATGTGGCCCGGGGGCTGGGTCAGGCCCCCGTGGGGTTTCCATCAGGCCTGCAGTGGAATTGGCCATCTCCTGCTTTCAATTCTGCTGCTGCTGTTGCTGCATCATAGCTTGCTCCACCAGACTCTCTTAATCACTCCGTGATTTCATGTTTTAACCTGGGCCCTAGACTCAGAACTCTGAGCTTGAGATTTCTGTGGTGAATGTCAATAAATCAAAAGTAGGTTTGCAGCTTACAGAGCTAACGTTTTAACCATGTTTCTATTTTAAGTAAAAAAAAAAAATCTTTGCGTTTCTCTCTCTTTATAAAGTTTATATCTCCACTCAGGGGTCATTTCGTACAAAAAGAGCTGCAGGAGCTTATTTGCATAACTCATTTGCATATGCCACACCCCCTGACAAAGGGCAGGCATGTTTAAATCCCCCCCACCTCCCCGAGTTTCTCCGCAAAAGCGGAGAGGCTCAGGGGGAAAAGGAGACATGTCTGCCTGCCTGCCTTTCCCTTCCCCAGCCAACCCGACGCCACAGGCTGGTTGGGGAAGCAAAGGACAGGTATGCAAGCATGCCTGCGTTCCCTACTCCTGGGCTTGTTACTCTCGGAATGCCGTTCCGGCTCGTTCCCGCTCGAAATGACCCCCTGTCTCTGCTACCTGGCATTACATTTCATTACACACACGGCCCAGCCCAACAAGGTCTCATTTGTGTCAGATCTGGCCCTCATAACAAATGAGTTCGACACCCCTGCTCTAGAGGTTTTGGGGCTCCACCATTGAGACAGCAGCCTGAAGAAGTCAGAGGAAACGGACGGTGACCTAGACAACTCGTAGCCGCTTCATTTGTGACTGTGTTTGGAGACAAACAAGGAGCGGTTGATAACTTCAGTGAAAAAGGACTGTAAAAGAAAATACTAATTCATTTTAAGAACACTATTTGTTGTCTAATACTTTATTTGTACAGGGTTTTTTTTTGGTGATTTGCATACCTGCATATGCTGTACATCCATTGGTGGTTGATTTTGGCCCTTCAGGTCTGCCTTATGAAGTAGGAGATACGTGAGATTTAAAGAGCAATAGGAGAGCCGAACCTTTCCTTCACCCACTGTTTAAAGGTAAAGGTTTCCCTGGCTTGAAAGCCAGTCGAATCCAACTCTAGGAGGTGGTGCTCATCTTTGTTTCCAAGCCAAAGAGCCAGCGCAGTCCGAAGATGTTTCTGTGGTCATGTGGCCGGCATGACTAAACACCGAGGCGCATGGAACGCTATTACCTTCCTACCAAAGCGGTACCTATTTATCTACTTGCGATTTCTTGCTTTCGAACTGCTAGGTTGGCAGGAGCTGGGGCCAGAGATGGGAGCTCACTCCGTCACGCGGCACTCAGGTCTCGAACTGCCAAGCTTCTTGTCCACTTGAGCCACCGCAGCCCTGTCACCCACTGTTTACCTCTCCACAACTCTGTCCCCAGGGAATTTTTCTCCCAGCAGGGCTGATTTCTGGTATCAGAGCCTGGCTGAGGGGGAAAAAAAACAACGTACAGACTGACGGGAAGGTAAGCGGCAGGACGAGGGAGGGAAGGGGCTAAGCACCTCTGAGCCAGTTTGGTGTAGTGGTTAACTGTGCGGACTCTAATCTGGGAGAACCGGGTTTGATTCCCCACTCCTCCACTTGCACCTGCTGATGTGACCTTGGGTCAGTCACAAGCTCTGGCACAGCTGTCCTCGAAAAAGAGCAGTTTCTGTCAAGAGCTCTCTCAGCCCAAAGCCGTAGTTCTGATAAGAGCTGTTCTTGAAAAAGAGCAGTTTCTGTCAAGAGTTCTCTCAGCCCCACCTACCTCACAGGTGTCTGTTGTGGGGAGGGGAAGGGAAAGGAGTTTGTAAGCCGCTCTGAGACTCCTTCGGGTAGTGAAGGGCGGGGTATAAATCCAATCTCTTCTTCTTCTTCTTCTTTTACCTCACAGGGTGTCTGTTGTGGGGAGGGGAAGGGAAAGGAGTTTGTAAGCCGCTCTGAGACTCCTTCGGGTAGTGAAGGGCAGGTTACAAATCCAATCTCTTC